GGCTGCGGCGGCAACGCCAACAACTTCCGCACCAGGGACATCTGCCAGCGGCACTGCCATCTCGCTCATAATGTCTCTGGTAAGCCAACATATTTAAATGTTTGTTATTTGTGTATCTATACTATAAAGAGGAAAGATTTGAATTTTTGTATGTATTGAAATAACTCATAAACTACTGGGTTGATTTTAAAATATCTTTTACCATTAAAAAGCTACGTTATCCCTAAGTAACATAGGCTATGTTTAGTTTTTTTACTATTTTTTAATTTCACGCCGACGAAGTCACGAGTAACAGATAGTGTTAATAAATGTAAAATCAAATGGAAAGATTTATGTCAGATACTTGTCCAAAACTAGTATATTAAAGAAAGATAAACATTAGAAAATTATTGTTTTTTTTTAAATAACGAAATGTGGCTATTGAAATGACTAAAGTTTCGTTTAGTATACGAACTCTATTAGTGTTATTAGTCATCTGCGTGAACACGGACGACAGACCTTAGAGAAAGTGGTGTGACGACACACTCTTTAATAACTTTTTTTTCTTTTAATATCTATACATTTCTTGGAACTCTCTTGAACGACATTCCAATATACCGTTACGGATTAATAATTTCTTTGATATTAAATCGAGTCTAATGTTATTAAAATTGTTCTTTTACAGATTTTGTTGACTCTTTATCGACTGTTTCAACCTTGTACATTGTCTATTTCTAGCTAAGATTCGAACTGGAAGTTTTGAGACGATACTGACAAAAAAATTAAAACCAACACCATCACGTGAGGATAACGAAGTGATGGTGAACGACGGACCAGTGTTGGGTATGTAAGTTTACCAATACAAGTTTATCTAGAAAGTTATTAATATCGCCAATTTCTTCACTATTCTTTTAGGTCACGACAAGATATGTAACAATTGTACCTGATTAGATGTTTTTTTAATTAAGATTTTGCATACGTACAGTCGTGGAAATCCGCAGTGTTCTATTTTACGAAAAATTGCCTTGTTGATTGCAACGAGACAAACTCCACTTCTTCCTACATATTTTTAATTAGACAGCGGTTAGTAGAACAAACGATGGGTTAAAGATAATAACAAACTAGCCGTGTTTCACTAATCATTATTCTTTTATATACACATTTATAAGCTGCGTTGTCTTTTTCCGCGTATCATTTCAAAATGTTCATATCCCCGACTGTACATATAGTACTTGTGCGTTTTATTTTAGACAACATAGATTGTGAGACGGGTCCGTGGCTGGGCTGGAGCGACTGCGTTGGTGACTGCGATTATGCTATTAAACTCAACTACCGTCTTATTGTGGTATGTTTAAACCTCCCAGTATCTATTTTATATTCTAGCCATGAACTATACTAAGTCATCATATGTTTGTTGATAGGATTAATACAGTTTGTAGAAGTGTTGTGTTGATTCACTAATTTGTTGTTTTTGTAGCAGACAGGTTCAGGAATAGGAAGGCCGTGTCAGAAGTTGATCAAAAGTCGCACTTGCAGACCTGGACATTGTCGTAAACTTTTCTCGTTTAATAATAACACTTCTCTTGAATAAGGTGGTAAGTAGGTTATAGTTACTGAATTATAATATTAAATGTTTGTTGTTGAAAAATTAGTGTAATCCATGTCCTTGGATATTGAATAGATGATTTAAAATGTACTTTTAAACAATAATAGGTAACAGCAGTAGGTAAAAAGGGCGCGCTTTACTTTCGAACTTAGTGAATTGACAGCTGTCATAGAGATGTGACATTTGTCAATGATTTAGTGTTGCGCCGCTACTATGGTACGGTACTGGTTTTCTTCTTAACAGTACTTATATGTTTCCTAACAGAAATTTAATCTGATATGGACGATTATTAAACTATTATTGTTGTGATGTTGTAGGTAATAAATAAGCAATACTAGTAATAGGAAATAACATTGTTAAATATTCTTCTTGCCTTATTGTAGATTGTATTCATGTATTTAAAATTTAATATAAATTTAATTAAATCGTCAATAGGGGCATTGATGTCTATTATCTAACAATGATATTTAATAAATGTTAATAAAAAACTAATATAGTTAAAATATTTTTAATTTTTAAATCGAAAACAAACTTCAACAAAGCTTTGTACATAGATTATTAATTAATAATTCGTCAACACATGATATTAAGACGATTATAAAATACTTGAACACGTTAACAAGTTTTTAACAAGCAATTTTAATACTGCCTGCTAGGAACATCACAGTCTTATTAATATTAACACTTTAATGTGGCTTTTCACTGTCATATTTAGTACAATACATAGACCGACAAGGCTATTTGACCCATTGGGCATATGTCAAACTAAATTATGTCAGCTCACTAGCGCCCTCTTTATGTGCGGCGACCTAAGCGGTCGCTCTACCTTGCCATTCACTAACGGAAGTACAGTCCGTGTAAATTTCATACGTACATATTTCTTTGTTGCTGCAACAGCACTTCTCTCACCGGGCCAAATATCCTTGTTAGACTATACTGCCTACTCTAACATTATCTGACATAATAGAGATATGTATTACAAGTTTCACTGCAAATGGGAAATAACGCTATCCTGCGTACCTTAAAAAACACATATTATTACTTAGGTACATATTACATTACTTTCTGACGGTAGCGTCTTCTTAAGTTGTCATTGTCGAAACATTCACAAAATCAAGCTATCTCTGTTACACTCTCTCACTAGGAAAAGTAAGGACAAAATATATATTTAAATGTTTCGAATGGGTTACATACATAAGTATATGGCAAGATTAAGATAATATAACACATAACCTCTAAATATTTTCAAACTTTCATTGTAATGTCTGTTAAAATTACACACAATAATAAATGATGAATGTTAACTACATTGATCTTTTATAGTCGTATTATTTTAACAAATAAATATTTAACGATACAAACAAATTTAGGTATTTGAAGTAATTTTAACAGGGAAGTACTTTTAGTTGTAGTTTTAAGTTTGTACTTTCTCTTATATTAAACATTTTAGTACTGTCTACTAACAAATATATCTGTGTTTTATAAAATAGCGTAGTATAAAAGCTTGATATTCATATAAAGACATTACATATTAGATAAATAGTAGTTAAATAAAGCCGGAGTAAAATTGGCACTCAAATGAAGCTATAACTGTGATCGGTTAAATATTTAGCAGTTCAATTAGGAATAGAACTGTTTAAACTCATGAAGTGTTTATTCATTCTTTAAATTACTAGTTTTAAGAATGTAAATAAACTCCTTTTTTCCGAAAATTGTGGTTTCATTTCGTATTTTCTAGTGTAGACTCTATTTTTGACCGACTTCCCAAAAGAAGGAGGTACTCAATTCGTCTGTATGTTTTTTTACAAAAAAATGTTATTTGCCACGAGCTCGAACGTCGGCTTCTGCTGTCCATTAAATTAGACTTTGTCAATAACTGACAGATAATTAACTCGCTTCCAATTCACAACTGGTCTTAGGCCAGTTGTTGGTAATCTGCGGTTTTGTAGCATCTCTAAATGTTTCAAAGTTCGTTACAGTAATCAAAATTATCTGCAGTTACTTAACATCATTCTATGTTTATACACAAATTCTTGAAATATACATTTTAATACATATTACTAAGGCTTCTAAAAGTCTACTCATAACAAATTATTTATCACATCGAGAAATTGATGCAAACTCGAGAAAGGTTGCCGACCTCTGTCATAGACTATAATCTTGTTGACGTTTAGTGACAGCGCGGCAATGCCACGGTATTCTTGATTTTTTATTCACTTTCACTGACTCACAGAGCTTGGGTATAATATTAGCTCGAATAGTATTCACTCCTACTGTGTAAGTTCTTTGGTTGGACTAAAACTTAACCTATGTTTTAAATTTAAAATTAATTTAGAAATGCATAATAGTACCCCTTAAAGTGCTTGTCACTTTCACATATTAACTCACTTTTGTGTCATAAATTGTAAAGAAATCACTTTATTTTGTGCCATTAAATGCGTGTAATGACTGGCTTGAGGGGGGAAGCACAACATCGTGGCGCCGTGCACTCTTTTGCACAAGGACAGGAGCACGCTGTGTTGGCAAATTCCACTAACGCCTTTTGCTCTTCCTCAGTACCTGGAAAAATTATCATAAAATGAAATCCTACAATCCAGGTTCAACGTAAACTTTATGCTAATACTAGCATTCGCCAACGACTCCGTCCGCGTGGAAATAAAAAAACAAAAGCGAATAGCCTATGTGTTCTTCCATACTACACTCCACATCTATATCAATTTTCATCTAGATCCGTTCAGTCGTTTAGGCTACAAACTATAACAAACATCGATCCATTTAAACTTTTGCATTTATAATATTATTAAGATAATAATTAAGACAGATAATTGAAAATGTTTACCACTGATTGAAGTTAGAGTAAATTCCGGCTGTAGAGTTACTAGGCCGATCCCGTGTTTTTTGAACACGTCGCAGACTAGTTCAGAGTTACGCAAATAGTCCTGCAAACAGTAAAAAATATCGTCATGAAAATCAATAAAAAAAAAACATTTTCTATGCTTCACTATATCATTGTAAAAAAATTCAGGTCGACTTTGACCACTTCCTTCGTTTTTCATCGCTAAAGAGTGTCATTGTGATATGTGATATCATGACAAGGTGAACAGTTACCTAGTCTCTTTGATATTTATATCATTTATGTTTTTTTACCCATAGGTATCTAATCATTCGATATAAAAACGTGCGATATTCCTTAGCCGTTGCGGTCTTATCTGCACAAGGTCTTCTGCATATTTTTAAGGAAAATCATATTCAAGTTATTATCGAATATTATTTTCAATTCTATCTAAAAAAATTTAGACAAAATTCGTCATAAATATATGATAGAAAAAGTTTTTTTAAGTTGGCATAGTATGGGTACATAAAGAACTGAGTATTGGATTGCGAGTAAGGTTATTAAGAAGGATCTTACGATTAAAAACTTAGCGCGCCAACATTATATAGAATGGAATAACAATAGGGAGATAAAATAGAATATTTCATACCTCATGTGAACTGTAAGATATATGTGCGGTGGCGACGATCTTGTCGCGGTGCAGCTGCCACACGTGCAGCTCGTGTATAGCAAGCACTCCGGGGACACGTAGCGCCGCTGCTCGCAGTTCACATGCGCCCAAACCCTCTGGCACCGTCTGCAGCAGCACCAGGCCCGCGGAACGCACTGTACATACATCACGAACATGATATTACAGCCTTACTAAGATTTGTTTACTTGTGATAGTGGTTACTAATAAACACCTTCAGTTCACAAACACACAAAACTACCTTTAGTTTTACAAGCTGAAGTTGTGTAGGAAATGTTGAACTGTCAAACTACAGTTCCCAGTTTTTCTTATATGGAAGATGTGCTGTTAAAACTGAAGTTGTGATAGGTCTTAATGGTATTGCAGTTTTGTATAGTTAGATATTGAGGCTTTTCCTTGCATTTTTTCTTTATTTTTTAAATACATCCGTATTCTCGTATTCTCTTAAACTTCAATGCTTGATTGTTTTTGAGAAAATTTGTAGATTCTGTTAAAGAAAGTATTTTTCGAAGAATTTATAAACTACCGTTTACTGAATCCAGCAATGGATTATTAGGCAGTAAAGTATAAAGTGCATAATAACAATGTAAGTAACACGCAATGTTATGCAACGCTGTTATGCTTTCTCGTCATAAACGCTTGTAACGTTTTCTAACGGTCCAGCATTGTTCTAAACTCCATAGCCCTTGTAGCGTTACCATTCTATAAATAATAGTTGTATAATTATGTTTATAAATTTGAATCATACCTAATTGTGGCATAACTGTACATAGCTTTGATTATTCAAAGATATTCTAACTTCGTTTTGTCATTACCAATTAAGTTTGATTATAAACATACAAAAAGCTATCAAGTAGTAGATGACTAACTTTATTGTACACATAGTATTTGTTTGACCTTTGTTATTGGTGTAAGAGATTCCTCTAGTAACACAAGGTAAGTAACTAACACGGATATCGGCTCTATTAAAAACAAAATCAGAGATTGCTTGTTTTGAATGTACACAAAGCGTACCTCCTAACAACTGAGTATTCATCCTTGATTTCTAGAATCTCTAAGCCATGTTCTTGCAGTGTGAACTCGAACGAACGGTATCATTCCTCCCTCAGTTTGTCCGAGAACATATCATTGTGCAAATAGAAGCGGAAATTCAATTGTTCCATTTTATCGCCTTGAAGGAGATTTTTTAAAAATATTTAAATAATTCAAAGTCGTATTCGATTGAATTTGCATCAATCTGTATCATGTTATCATAAAACAATATTATGGTCAAACAAAGCTCATGGAATGCCTGAATGCGTGGGAAATTCGGATGTCATTTGTTTCGTTTTTTTATTATTTTGATTTGTTCTTGAAAATAGTTATCATAAAAGAATTTCTAACACATAACAGAAAGATTGTTCTACACAAAATTTAATATCAAGGCTATAAATTAGTTTAAGCATAAAACTTTTGAGTATCTAAAATTAGTACAAGAATCAGTTATTAAGTAGTTATTTAAACACATCAATAGTATAAATAACATTATCACATACTGAGTCTGTACTAAGGAACGCCTTTAGTGACTCTTAGAGTGGCAGTACGCTAATCAGGAAAGCAATTTGAACATCCCAATAAACCGGACGCGGCTTGTTACAATATAAACGTGAGAGCTTGTGTGGATGTTGTTTTATTGACTACGAAAGAAATTTTGTTATTTCTACAAAGTTATCTAGAATATGCCTAGTTAATTTTAATTATTGCTACAGTATGTTTGGCAGCCATTACCATACCTCGATTATATCAATAATGGCCTAAATGCATTTTAATTAGTTACAGCACGTATAATGCAAATTTAAATTGTTAAAAACTCTTATCAAAATACATTACTGTTTCTGTTACAAAAAAATATATATATCTTTTGTACTTAGTAATTAATAAAAGTTGAAGAATGCAGCCTGTTCGAAAGGATAGTTATTATGTTTTTTTTTATTAATTAAACTTCACACGAGCCAAACCGCGGGGATTGGTTTGTTTATATTACAATAATAACATGAAATAAAAACAGCGTGAGATAGTGGAAACGAATTTTGTTTTGAAAACATTCGCGTATCTTAGTGAGATTGTATTTATGTAATTTGTGTCCGAAACACGCGCACCGCTGTCTGGATGTTCATTTTTTAATATTCATAAATCACGCGAAGATAAATGACTTACAGCCATTTCCTCGTACTAACGAAATTTACTTCAAGAAATTGTTACATGTATGATGGACATCTTATACCATATGAATAAGGTCGTTAACCCTGGATTTATTGGCCACACAATTTGTAAAAATCAAAGAAAGTTTGATTTGGGTAAGAAAATGCTTCGTTTATTTCTTTTCGTTTCCACTGTCTCTTATCGCTTCAATTACACGATTCAATTTCACGTGATTTGGTTGAACGAATTTAATTCAAAAGTTTTGATTTCGTACCGCAGTGTAGTAGACGTTTATTAATTGAATTAATGTTATTTTGAAAATGTGTTTTATAACACGTGCCTGTGGTACACTTACTGAATGGATAGTTGAATATAACGAGAACTATCGCGGCGCACGCCGACAGCGCGGGATCTGCTATGCTCGCCATCTCAGGCTCCCATTCCGTTGTCAGGCCGGCGCCGATCGCGAACAGGCTACCTATGAGAAACATAATTATTTTTTATATTTTAGCGCACAGGAAACATAATAACTACCATAATGGGAATAATAATATTCCCCTTTTGATAGTAGCAATATAAATTCGGTTTCCACAATGGCAATGTAGTACAAAGCGTATGAACGTGGTTTTAACGCGATCATGTTTTGTACAATAGAATTGCTTCCGGTGTTTTTATAACTTTCTCCTATTGCTTGCAAGCGGCCCAGATAAGAAGCTTGGAATATGTATGTCTCAACAAGTTTTCTTTACCAATAAACCGTTTTACTGTTTACATTGTAAAGAACAAGATTGTATGAATAGAGGTCACTACAATACTATACTATGTATGTCGTTAACTTTTTAAATGGGACAAGATTCAGATAAATGTTATTGCACTAATCCACTTGTAACCCCGTATTGCACCCCTCACTTTCGATTTGTACAGCTTACAAGAGGCTAGCACATAAAATTTTCGAGACAGTATTCGCAACGTTACGTCATTGATAAAGTACGAGTTCTCATATAAAATTATGTTGAGGACTTCAGAACACTGTGGCAAATTTTCGTGATAGATGCTAGTGGTTCCATATTTGTGATTCCTATCAATATTTGCGGTTGTTAACGGTTACTGATAACCGTTTTACATCTACTCGTTTGTCACATTCTCTAATTAAATAAAATATTATTATCATAATCGTAAACAATATATCATAACATGGACGTATCGCATTGTATTTATAAATAGGTGTACTGCTTGTTTAAGTTTGGTATCATTATATTTTTGCATTAGTTGGGTTCTGTAGTGTTTATTTTTGCATTATATAAATTATCGAGATAAAGAAGAAATAACAATTAAAAAAATACACAAGCTGACTAGGAATTGAATCTCTGACCATGAGACGTTTTCATAGATTGGACTCACAGTTAAAAAAATATTTAACATTGACTATAGTTTCTTTACGGTTTCGTTGGTACGTTTATAAACGGTGACGAAACTGGTATTCATTCTTACTTAAAAGTACTGTATAAATGTATGCGATCGCTAACCCTAATTTAGGGTTGTCAAAATCATCAATTTTGTTTTTAAACCAAATCACAAGCTATAGATAGAAAAATCCTGGTTACATCCAATGCAATTTTAAAATGTAGTAATAATTGTTGTGTAAGACCTACTGACGATGTCGATAGGTGCGTGGGCCAGCACGGGCTCTGCCGACCCCGTTTTCAACACCACTCCGCCGCCCTCTGTCATGCTCAGCCGGCGACTATAGCTTAGCTCCCGTCCTATGAAACAAGCAGGCTATATTAACCACATCTGTATTATAGTTGAACAGAAAAAAAATCACATGAATATAAATTATCACTTTCATTATAATAAAAATAACTTATAAAAATAGTATAGCCTATTTTACTTCACTGATAACGTAGCCTTTTAATGGTAAGTATTTTTGGAATCGGCCCAGTAGTATTTAAGTTATTTCAATAAACACAAAAATCCAAATTTTTCCTCTTTATAATATTAGTATAAATTGTTTGTTCCCTTTAAAAACTTAATAAATACACATAATAGAAGTCCTATGGTATTCTATGATTCGTTCAAAAGAGTAATATTTTTAGAACTTTTTAATTGTTACCAGTGATACTGCTAGATTGTTTGCGTAACACAATCATTTATTTCCGAGCAAAATCTTTGCAAAAAGTCATTGTTTTCTAATGAATGCACGAATTAGTTGGATTTAGTGTATTGGCCCATTTCAAAGGCCACATATCCGAGTAGCTGTATCGACGTTGCGTAGCACGCACTAGCCGATCTGGCCGCACGTGTAAACACGGGTTTATTTTTATAACGTAGTTTGGCGCCGACAATGTGAACACTAGAGATATTTTTATCATGAAATAATATCACGGCTGAGAATATCACCAGTGTAGATACGCCTTTATCGTTATACTGAAATGATATCTACCTAACTATATATATCTAACATCAGTAAAATTTTTATTCTGATTAACGAGTAAGATAATTCTGTAATTAATTAAAAACTAATAGCTAATAATCAACGCTTACTCGTTTAATTGTAATAATTACTTAAATAAAATATCTTTAACCTATTGGTGTTTCACACGTGGGTAGAACAGTGAGACAGAGCAATGCATAGTACAGTACTACTATTATTTGAACTTATACTAACAGTACTATTGTGAATCACTTTGTGTGTTCAGTAGGACACTAATAGCAGTACTGCATTGCACACTGCGCTGTATCAATGTTATACCCTCGTGAGTAACAAGCATATATAAATAGTACTGAAAATTTCAAGTATCATTACCAGCCAGTAACATGTAGTTGATAGTATACAGCAGAAGACCGAGGACAGCGCTGCCGATGATGACTTTGGGGTAGCGTGGTGGCTGCACGTGGGATGAGTGTACGCCGAGCTGTAGCGCGTTGACCACCAGGGAGAACGCGAATGACGCAAACAGCACGTGTACAGATAGCCTACCGACTACCTCGATACGCGCCCATCCAAACGTATTCCTCAATCGGCCCTCGCGTCCCGCGCCTTCGTCAGCTCGCTCGTACTGGGAACAAAAGTATTACCTTACGCCTATTGTTATAGAACCAGTCGAAACCTATAATCAGAAGTGAATTAACATTTAAAGACATCAACTATGGGCTAGATATAACGCTGTTGAGGTACAATACAGGATCAATATACAAGCTGAACGGATCTCCATGAAATTTGGCACAGGTTTAGAGCATAGTCTGGAAGAACACATAGGCTACTTTTTATCCCGGGATAACTTACGGTTGCCGTGGGAATCATTAATTTAGTTTTTTAATGTTTACTCGATCATTCTGCAACGGTTCAACATATCTTATTGAAATTTGGCACAGATATAAAACAAAGTCTGGAGTATACATTCCCGAGGGATACGTAGCTTTTTGTTATTTATATAGTTCGTATGTTTTCTAATACGACGCGGACGAAGTCGCGGGCAACAGCTCGTTAGTAATATTTTAATCGTAGGTACTAACTATATTCCACTTCTTCATAACCTCGATTATAAAATGTTGAAAGGCGAAAAAGAAATCAATAAACATGAATCATCCTTCTACATATGACTTAAATTGGCAAATATCGTAACATTCATTCCATACATAGGAGTACTAAAATTTTGTAAGGTTACGCCAACTATTAATATTTTGGAGATATTATAATTCATTGCCTATTACTGAAACACTTTCGTATTGTTAAGAAATTGAGAATATACTGATAAATTTTATTAGAAATCCATATTTAAAAATAAAACTATTTCTTAACCAGTAACAATTCCACTCTTCTTAAATGCCAACAAGTATGTCTAATAACATCCAGTCATAAACTGTTGTCGATAGTAACAGAAGAGAGTTCAGTGATTTTTATTAGATAGACGTGATTATTGTTTATTTAAATTTACCAGCTTCTTACCTTATATGCAAGCAGTGTTGTGATAAGTCCGAAGAGTCTGCAGAGCGAATGGCAAGTGTCGACAAGCAGGGTCGGTGAGTGTGTGACGTAGGAGGCGAACAGTCTGCTGCTAAAGCCGGTTACAGCTAGCAGCAGCGCCAGCAACGACCGCGGCGGCGGCAGCCACTGCAGCCACTCTTTCATCGCCATCTCTGCAAAATAAATGTATCTTAGGTTTGTGCCACATGATATGTAGGGACGTAAAGGTGTTCATGCAGTGCTTTAAAGATAAAAGTCAATATTGATGCTATAACTTGACCATAATCATTATTTTTGCAAAATCATTCTTATTTACCTTGTTAATTTGTCTAAGTATAATTACGTTGTCATGTTGGTATTTTTCTTTAAAATTAATTCACGCATAATTCTCTATTGAAAACCGTTTAAACTGGTTATCAATAGCCCTATAATGCAATGTGACGATTCCAGTTTAATTGAAATTAAGCTACATCCGTTGATAAACATATCGAAAGTTGTTCAGACACAAAAACTAATCGGAGACATGATCCGAGAATGGTGCGTGCGGTGTTCCCGACTGGTTTGCTAATAGGGACCGCGCCTTTATTCACATTGGATTACTGTACTTAGTTCTTTATGCCTTGAATATGTTACAAATGGAACGTGGTTATACCATGTCAGTCTTTTAAATTAATCACATTAATGTTAACTGTTTCGATGTTTTCTGTCATAATTAGCCTGGCCCTGACTCCATACTTTGTTCTCTGTTTAACGCAAACTTTCGACTTTATCTGTTCACTAAAATATGTATAATCTGTACACCTCTGAATATAAATTAAATTAAAATACCAGAAAATCAAAAGTATTATCATAGAAAGCAATAATTTTAAACCATAAAATTTGCATTGTTAATCATTATTAATGCTTTTATGTGTGTATGGCGTATAAGTTAGCAAATAAGTTGATTTTATCTTATTTCATATCCATGGCTTACTTTGTAAGTTTTGCAATGCATTGCCTTTTTCACATGTTAATAATTTGTCAGATTAACTTAACATAATGGTAAGTTTTAATTGCGACTCGCTTATGGTAGTAAGTTATGCTAAATATAAAATTATAAATAACATAGACAATTTTATTGTTAGACATGAAGGTGATAGAAACAACCTAGGAAGTTTATATTGGTTAGCATAATATTATTGTTATAGTAAGCAACTAGAGCTCGCCATACCACGGTGACAACGATATTCTGCTTATAAATACTACAACTGTTGTGGAAAGTTAAGGTTTCTCGGATTTCAAGTTTATACGGTTTTAAAAATAAATTTACATCGTTTTCCGATTATATGTCTATAGTTTGTTATATTAATAAAGCGCTAGATGTTGAATTATTAACTTCCATCTGACACGTATGACGAAATGTGACCCATCGATTTACGAACGAATAAATTTTAAGAGGGCGCACACATTTGACTAAACTATCGCACAACCGTTGTGCGATTGTCAAATGTTTCGCAACCCATTTAAAAGTTTAGACAACTGAAAATCGAGTAGTGTGCGCACCTCCATATAAGTTCATAGGAATCAAAACGCGACTAAACTGTAGCGATAGTTAAGGCAAAGGCGCGCTCTTATAATTACAAGTTTGTGTCGGATGCTAATACCGAATAGTTGAAATAATCGTTACGTAACAACGATAAGAATGTCTTAGTATTCTTCGTGCGAGCTGAATATCGTATCGGATCGTTTTTCGGTGTTACGCAGTTCATGATAACTGTTACTAAGCCATAAACACCTTGTTGATTCCAAGGAACATGAAGGTGATCCACTTCTGATTAAATAGATACATCTTGTTGGGCGACAAATATCAAATTTGACAGTTGATATTTATTTAGATAACACTGCCGGCGAGTATCGCCAACTATACGTGGAGTGATAAAACATATTGAGGTAATGTTCACAATATAACAACAATCAATTTGTCAATACGATATACAAACACTTTTACCGCCTTATTATTTACTTAACACTTTCCAACTATCATTTTATACAGTGTAAGTTATTGACCCGAAATAAATAATATATCATAGACCTAATTAAATTCATATAATTTTAAATGTACCTAGTACAATATTTATCTTTTAAGAAATAATTTATGAAAAGTAGAATACAGATATAAAATAAAAAAGTTTGTTGTAGAAAAGGTTGGATTAATTTATTACAAATCGTTTACTTCCATGACTTTATTACTATGTATTTTATATTTATACTATGTGATTTTATAAGCAAAATTTTCGATTTTTACTCTTTTAAAACTTGTGTATTGAATACATAAATCATTATTCTGTACTAGCTTTCGCCCGCAACTCCGTTCACTTGGGATTTAAAAAAGTAAGTAGCCTATGTGTTCTTCCAGACTATCCTCTACATCTGTACCGAATTTCATCGAAATCAGTCCAGCCGTTTAATCTACAAACTCTATCACACATCCATCCATCTAAACTTTTCCATTTATAATATTAGTATGAAACGAATGTAAGAAAGCTATTTTAAATGTTAGTCAGTGAATACGTTGGATCATAATTGAACAGGCAGTTTAAGGAAGATCGTATTCAGCAGTAACAGCCAATCTCCGGCAATTGTATGCATTGAATCACTCTCACGATGCTCTATGCCATTCATTTCGCACACAAACCTTATTATACGTAAATAAATAGGCTTCAACGGTTAACAATAGCTTAGTATTGTGTTACCTAATCAAATAATTACTAGAAACAATAACTATTTTTGAATGTTCTTTTGATTGAGTACAAAAAACAATGCATTATTAAAGAAATCAAATGCTTATTTCAATTTGGATAATTGAATTTAGATTTCAATCGTAACTTAGAATTACATTGTAAAGAAGTGTTTCGAACGTAATTAAACGCTGTCGCAGTAATGAAGTTTTGTTATGCGAATTTGCTAATAAAATATTTCTCAACTAGCTTTCGCCCGCGACTTTGTCCGCGTGGAATTAAAAAAAACAAAAGTGAGTAGCCTATGTGTTCTTCCAGACTATCGTCTACATCTGTACCGAATTTCATCGAAATCTGTTTAGCCATTTAATTCCACTATATGGTACAGTATATTTTTACAGACATAATAATAACAAAATAAATGTAATTAATAATAAGTTTAGTTGCACTGTAATCATACTAATGTTGTAAATGCAAAAGTTGAGATGGATGAATGGATGTTTGTTAGTGTTTGGAGCCTAAACGGCTAAACTGATTTCGATGAAAATTGGTATTGATGTAGACGATAGTCTGGAAGAACACATAGGCTACTCACTTTTGTTTTTTTTTAATACCTCGCGGACGAAGTCGCAGGCGAAAGCTAGATATTTATTAATTTCAACAGGCTAGATCGTAACTGGAGCAAACGACTATTTCCGAATGTTGTTGCGATGAAAAAGCGTGTTCGGTTATTAGCCTATTTCTTTTTTGCGCCGATGAACTTTCAAAAACATTCTGATGTAGGTAAAGAAGCCAAACACTCGGTACAACTATGTACAAACTAGCACGCTTGTAGAATATTCAATATAGTACATATATTATTTTGATTGTTATTGAGATATATGTATTAAAAGAAGTTAAAAACGTAATACGTTGCAAATAAATTTTTTTTCGGATCGGGCCATAAACACAATGTCTACACCATATCGTATAGTCATGCGATATGGTGTAGACTAAAGAAAAAACAGTAAAATAGTTTTAGATGTTTTTACAGAAATAAATATATCTGGTGATAGAAATTGAGAGTTAACCGGTACAAACTAGTCGGGATTCGAATCCCGGCCGCTTTTGCTATCGTAAGCTTCATACTCGGATTATAAATAAAGGGTGATTTAACGTTGTTTATCAGAAAAACAGAGAAAAACTTGCGAGGAAATTAAGAGTAGGTGTTTGTAGTCTGCGTTGAGATATCTAAATAGAAAAGTGACGTTGCAGGTCAGTGAACTAAGTCTTATTGCTAAAGGTATCAAATCTGTTTATACTATTTTTAATTATTTAACTGTTTTTCGGAAATAATTCAATTGTTAATCATTAACATGACAACAAAGTTTGTATATTAAGCTTCTATAAATAAAAAAGCAATGGAAGAAACGAATTAGGCAATTTTTAGTACCATATTGCGTCGATAGGTCTTAGATTTTTCCACATATTCATCGAGTCATTTTCACGCGATTGACCAAACATTGTTCTTTACTTTTATTCGCTTCTGATTTTATAGAATACAATATCAACTAAACTTAGTTTTAGTAAAAGCGAGTTTTCATTTCGCTTCAATGGACACGAATCTCGGATTTAGTTTATTATTGCGATAATGTTGCAAATGTTTACGGAATACAAGAGCAACACGGATTGAGTCACTGGCCTGTTTATTTTTTCCACTGAAATTTCGTTCAAATCTTATAAACAAAGATTGGTAGAGCCTGATCGTAAAGGGACCTTGCTGTAAACAATGCTTTATAGAGGAAATGTTTTTATGTGCTGCATTTAAGGAGATAGATTAATCTTTATACTGCCATTTTCTCAACGGAGGGTCGGCAGTTCCAATAGCTCTATCATCGATCAGACTTTTATAAGAAGTTATTAGACGCAAATTCTGTTATATATTTTTGACTAAAAAAAGGCATGAACTTTTCATTATGTATTGGTCAATTTTGAATGAATACCTTATCGCTCGGTTAATACATTTATTGTATGTAAAAGCTTATTTTACGTGTTTATCAGTCTGGCTGGGTGAGATAGTTCATAATCTATATATCAAAATAAAAATAATCCTAGTATATGATTACAATACGATTATTGCAATAAAGAGATTAAATATATAGTTAATGATTGTTTGTTTGTTGGTAACTCAGAAGTATTTTAAATTTATTATTTACTGATAATACAGTTTTATAGTTAGATAAAATTGTATCTCAAATTGTTGGGCAAATGAAGTGTTCAATTTAAATTATAAGAAATAACGTAAAGAAAATTTAATAGACGTCAAGAAAATTGCTGAGATATCTAATTTTAGGGTCCCACTAAGAACCTAATTTGTACCTAATTAATTTTTTTTTTTTGTACAAAATGTGGACAAATATTTAGATAGTATACTGTTATGTATTAGAGTTTGTGTATTTAAGTTTTTTTTAATGGTACCGTGTTATTATTGGTGATTTAGCTATCGCAGCCTTATCGCGCTCTTTTCTGATGCAGTCAAATATTTGGTATCCATGTTTGTATATTATCGCTTTACATATTGAACAGTGAATATGTAAGTAAAGACGGTGTATATTATTTTTAGTAAGTTTTTAGTAATTTTTTATATCTTTATTAATATAGTTAGTTGGATGTTTTTATCCATTGTATTTCAAAGACATATTCGGTTTTGTCTATTACGAATTCGAACCTAAGCCTTGAGAACGTAGGAATTAAAAAAAATAAAAATTGACAAAAGGTTTTTACATAAAATCTAACAAATATACTCACCGAATAGTTAATTAGTCACCGGTTTACAGGTTAAATAAAAGCAATCCTTGTCACAACACTGTTTAGTAAACACCAGGTACATAGCAGTTGTATAATATTGTTTATATTTTTGTTAACGTGGTACAGAAGCACTGCGCCCGCGCCGCAAGTCGCGACCCGCACCGATTGTCGACTGACGCTTGCGTGAGCGCGCGAGCTCTTATCGACCAAGTTTTCGCGCCCGATAACAATGTGTTAACTCGCGACCCGCCAATAAAAGCTTGCTTCTTGACAGTTACTTTTTTAGTTTCGCAACAGCGGATGAGATTATAAAAGCAGCATCTCAAGGCGACTACTCTACTCTGTCAGGAACTAAAATAAAAGTAAACTTGGCTCACAGTCTATATGCAACTATGTAAGAATATTAATCCAACATTGCAGCGTTATTGAAGTTTGTCTCTCAAAAAAACCTTTTCCTGTTTTTGTTTACCCGGAATAACAGCTGTTAAAGAGTATTATTTTTTAAAAATCAATATTTTTAAGACACAAAACTTATTTAAAGAGTAGATTTTCTAAATGTAACTTGTAGTAACTTGATACAATCTTAATGTAAAGGGAAAACATGGTAAGATATGGATAATTATTAAAAAATAATGAAAAAATTAAATCAATCAAAATCATGACAAAATGTTTGAGAAGTAATAATATATTTCTTGTTAATGACAGGAATTGACTATTAATATTGTTTACAATTATATTAAAAGATCAGGTCACGGACGTTCTACCAGCGATATATTCGTAACGGTCATGTCTCAAAATATCTTTTCTCTCTTTCTTTGTAAGCCTTGAACTGAATTCTATTGGATCAAAACATACTTTTCTACAAAACAATTTAATTGTCATATGATTCTACAACTCCTAGTAGTACCATGTTCTTCTCCATCATATGACGCCCTCTGTTGGCCATAGTCCTTCACTGAAGTTCGCCATCATAGTCGATCCTGTGCCTCTTGAGTACAGGAATTTCCAGTAATTTTACGGGAGGCCTACGCACGATAATAATTTATATTATCTTCAAAAATCATCATCATCACCAGCTCACTATACGTCCCCACTGAGGGGCTCGGAGCCTGCCCTAAATTAGGGTGACTATCCCTTAGACAACTACGCTGGCCCACTGCGGGTTGGTTGACTTCACACATGTCTTTGAATTTCTTCGCCGATATGTGCAGGTTGCATTACGATGTTTTTCTTCACCGTAAGAAAGTCAGGTAAATTATGTACGTATGAAAATTCGAAAAATCAAAAGTCACATTGGTACACGGCTGGATTCGAACCCTAGACCTGTAGATTACAAGCCAAGTGCTTAAACCCCTAAACCACCGACGCTCTTTATTCATAATCTAGCTATTCCCTTGCTGTTTCATCAGCATGAAATTTTATTTTATTGTTTACATTTGTCAAATCATCAATAGCAAATGTCATAATGACATGACGTGACAAACCTTGGCAATCTTGCTTCCTTGATGTTGGCAGCAACTTATGGTCTCTTTCCCACATAAGGGTTTTTATCCAGAATATTTACCCACTAAGTTTAATGGCGTAAAAATATATAGCCTAAAGCGTGACATAAGTGTAGGGCTCTTTATTAAGAAAGAATTATTCAAAAATATGCTGTGATTACTAACATCCTACGCCACCAAGTGGTGTGTGTTTACGCTTTATTATATTAGTATAGATATAATTATTTAAAACACTCAATTACGACTAATGATGCGATCTATTTGTGAATAAAATAGTGAACAAACACGTTAAAGATGTTAACTGTATGTTACTGTTATTTGCTGCACAAAGGACCACTCTTCAGAGTAATAATAAGATGTAAATAAGCACTCATTATGTGTTTATTGATAATGGAATAATTATCTCATTATTATTTGAACGACTTAAATGACATCGTAATAATACGAACGAAATATTTCCAAAATTTATCATAATTCAAATGTTGGAAACGAAATAACGAAAAAAAAAATACAGTCGAATTGAGTCCTTCCTTCTTTTGGGAAATCCGTTAAAAAAATATATTATGTTAATGATACTTCTTATACGTAAATTATACTAACTACGTCTATATTTACTGAAATATAACTTATAACTATTATAGCTACGATTCAAAGCAGTATTTCCCTTCTTTAAACTGCCACTACATACAAACTCTACCATCTCGATCTTTGTCTCGGTACAGTCAAGAAAACAAAATAAATTATCATCATGTTTATTGTATGTTCATTGCCATGAGTAATTGCAGGTCCTAAGGTATTTTACCACGAGTCGATACGCGTGAAGCATGTGGCCGGAGAACAATGAGGATTCTTTAAACGCTTGTATGCATTTCGCACGCGACTGATGGCGCCCATTGCCGTGACTTATTGCCGTATTGGACAATACTTTGCAACAGTAAACTTTACACATTCACATATCATCTTATCATTTATATTATTATCTGTTTATGATTAAAAAATTGAAGTTAACGACTTATTAATTAATAATGTACATTTTAAGGCAAAAACATACTAATTATTTGACATTTGAAGACATGAAACACTAATGTAAGGTCTGTTAAGTCATGTATGCTAAGTAAAAGTTAATTGTGTAATTATGTTTGTGCTACGTTATGAGTAAATATTTATTGTAGATCGCAAATATTCACCAAAAATACAAATTTACATATTTTCTAAGCATTTCCTTCGCCATTACTTTTTTTTCGGTTTGTATGGTAAACACTAATCGGTAATAATATTAATCATGGATTATATGATATTTTATTGTAAATTATTTATAATCCAAACATGAGATAAGAAATGTTATCCCAATATTGGTCATGGGTGTAGCCTTGAAGGATCAGATAAAAGTATTGGTTTTGTGCAATTTACACAAATCCTAATCGCTGTTTGTACGAACGTTTTTGATAGCCGACATTTGATAGATAAATGATATCAATGTCGTGGAACATTATAAAGGATCTCTGTTCTGCCTAAATTTTGGTTGTAAACATCCTTATGTTTATTCTTTAAAGGACATAAATACATATGTACTTTATATATCTCATTTCACTGTCTCGTCATGGCACCCAGTCACCGTCTGCCAGTTTCTTAGCTTATCACAAATATGTCTATGTATTTGTAACAACAAAATGTCCATATAATTAATTTGTTTCATTGTACACGTGTTAGTCTAATCTTGTTTGTACATTTCTTGCTACTTGACTATTGTTTGTTTGTATGATAAGAATCTAAAGTCTTTTGTAATGTGAATTGATAAACAGATAAAAATATTAATCAATTTTTGATTTTATCCATAATATGTGAAATATTGAAGATCAATCATTCAAAGATAAAGAAAACCTTTCAACAGCGTAAATATCTTTCTTTGTTAGTTACATTGATATCGATTGCGATGAAAATAGTTTCGTCAAAGAGTTTTCCTATCAAATATCCGACTCACCGTAACTGCCATTTTGTCAAATCAACTTCCATGCCAATGACAATTTGTCATTGGCATGGAATTGAATTTTGTTTTTATTATTAAAACTAACAAGTCCGAACTCCACAGTGGAAACTTGACCTTGTGTTTAGGCGTAGTATTCTAGAATACCTAGGCTCGTAGACTCTCAAAATAATCGACACAAATATCATGTTCTGAATTTTATTTTTAAGAAAACTTGTTTACGAATGTTTCGCATAGCTATCTGTCTTGTACTTGACCTACTTAAGTACTTAGCTGTATTTACTTTAATAATCTATGGCTTATCGATTTAAAAATAAGCTATTTTTGTAAAGGCTTACACTAACATACCTGTATGTTTTGTCATCGTAAAAAAACATCACATTTTCTTAAGAGAACTGTCTTGAAACAAACTTACTCTTTGGTTTCAATCACTTGTCTCGTGTCTTGAAGGTAGAACGCACGGAAGAAAAGGTGGAGTAGAATTTTTTTATTTACCTACAAAAAAGTTTGTAATTGTCAACTTAATGGTTGATAAAATCTTTTTCATGATAGCGGAAGTAAAGTTTTTTTAATTTTCTCTGACAATTTTACATAACCTAACAAAACGCTGTCACATTCTTCGCAATAACATTTAACAGTTTTTATAACTATTATAAAACTTGGTGTAAATCAACAAAATTTTCGTAATTTCAACATGTTAGACTCTGGTGGAACCTCTCTAAGATCCGGTGAGAATTTACATAAAAATAATGTTATTTTGTTTTAAAAACAACTTCAGTTGCGATTCTACTATATGTGATCATATATTTTTGTAGATATCAATACGACTGTTGCTAGAAGATGGGAACAACCGCGCCCGGTCAAACGTTCGCAATCAGCCAGTCCTAATAATTTAAATGCACGAGTAAGATTATTTTTATTATAACTTACCACTCTGAAAAAATCTATGATATTTGATTGTCTTTTGTTCTTAAATGTTGAGGTAGTCAATCTATATCTATACTAATATAATAAAGTGTAAACACACAATACTTTGTGGCGTAACATTTCAGCAATCACAGCATATTTTTGAGTAATTCTACCTTTAATAAAAAGTCCTATACTTACGCCACGCTTTAGGCTATATATTTTTACGCTGTTAAACTTAGAGGATAAATAAAATGGATAAAAACCCTAATCTGAGAAAGGGACCATAAGCTACAAGCTGCCAACATCAAGGAAGTAAGATTGCCATGGTTTGTCTTCATGTCATGTCATTTTGACATTTGGAATTGATAATTTGACAAATGTAAACAATAAATTAAAATTTTCACAAATTTATGTTGATGAAGCCGCACGGGAACAGCTATATTTTCTAAAGGTCGTCGTCGTGCAATAAATCCATACAATCCTAGCTCATTAGAATTTAATTTAAGATAAGTCACAAGGATAGTACATATAATTTTATGTATATTTTATATTCACGTTAATAACTACTTTATAAGCCCTGATCGGTGTCACGGCGGATGTGTGTTTTGAATATATTCACCATAATCATACTAATAGCGGGCGCACACCTTTACACTATAAGCACAACTGTGTTGCGATTCCGATTATTTCGCAGCCAATTCGACTGTTTAGTTGCACAAGTAAAAACAGATTAGTGTTCGCACCTCTTACAAGCTCATAGGTAAAGCGGGACTAAACAGTTGTTCGATAGTTTAGTTAAATGTGTGCGCTTGCTCTAAACCTATTAAATAAATTGTTTACATAATTGTATACTTATTAATTCAAACACTATATTTGCAATCGTTTTGTACACGATAAATACTTTTATTGCAACTTTAGAAATTAATTATGTGAAGAATATAGCGGTCGTTACTTTTCTGAAATGGTAAATAAATATGTATTTCTGTAAGACAATGTATGTAATTCAACTGTCCACTTTATGTTAAACGTAACACATAATAATTAACAATAAACAGTTTTGTTTGCACAGCCGGGAGACAAGTCAAACTTCAATGTCGCACAAACTGACTGAAGAAATTGTGTACAATAACTTCACTTATGCTGGGTTTCTGAAGTTTCTTTTTATTATATTCTTAACCTAATGATTCATTATTGTTAGGTTGATCTATGTTTTAAGGAAGTAAAACTCAAGTTAAGTAGTTTGGAAACGCATTTCATGAAGTTACCAAACAAAAACACTAGGGATTGGTTAAACGTAACTGGGAAACCGACTATTATTTCGTTATCTTTTGTGATACAAACAAAGACAACAAACATTTAATGTAAAGATACCATATACGTATTTATTAATAAACTTATTCTCTTACATTTGACTCTGCACTATTCCCAGTAAATAACTTGCTCAACAACATAACGTATGTATGCTTATCAAAGAAAAATAAATCAATTTCAGCTCTCTTCATTTTTAAATTCATTTTTAATTGCTAAGTTTGACAACCTGTAAAGGTACCAAGGAAATTCCCTGTTATAATTATAAAGGTAACAATTTTAACCCATCAATTATACGCCACGGCTCTTCACGTTAGTTAAGAATGATTGTTTTTCTGGGAATCTGCTCAGCATGCACCTAAATCAAAACCCTCCTTTTCTTATTTTAAACTTCGGTATGCAAGATACGTGATGTTCATTCGGGATAAAAGTTATTGAAAAACGAACAGGACTAAAAGTGACTGTTGTTTTCTTTTACAGAGACAGAATGTACAGAAAAAACTTGTTGCTGGGAAAAGACATCGAAGTATGTCGCCTACAAATGTATGTGATTTTTTTAATATTATCAAATTATATCCGCTATCTGTTTTCTTCTTCCTTTAATGCTGCAGGTCTTGCTTGTTTTAGTTGGTTTTTAACAATTCCTTTGAAAGTCAACTTATTATTCTCTCCAAATTCTTCTCGCCTTGTTTTAACTTAATAGTTCCATATGTCTAAACATTATGAATTTGTTGTGTAAAGGTGGCGAAGAAGGCAGATGAGAAGCGGCCGTCATCACCAGTTCATTTTCATACTGAAGATGATTACGCAAACTTAACTTTGACGGAGACAGGTTGGTTTATTTTGATACTTTCATTTTGTCGTATGAAATAATGTAAGTATATAAAATTGATGTCTTAAAAGTGAAGAATTCTTCAATTATTAAAAAACTTACTTCTTACTATTCAGAAAAAGATGTACTTTTGCCGCCGACAGTCATTTCGAAAACCATGCGTTCGTACGCCGGCAAGAGAAGAGAGTTTATAAAGCTTCGTAAGAACGTTATGAGTCAACAGGTAGGATCAAAATATATTGAGAAATAAGATTAATTAAATTGTGTGCTTTAGGTTTAAGTTTCTTTGTATTATCATCAGTAAAAATGTGTACATTATTAATTTAAAAGTGGATAATATCGAAGCTAATATATAGATTACTTTTAAAAGCGATTGTTAAAGATGAAACCCTGCTTGCATCACGTTTGCTACATCTGCGTTTCAGTATATTGCTTGTAAAGTCGCTTGTACTTGTAGTATTTAATTCTGTGAACTTTAAAGGACTTTCAGTCGGGCAACCTTTTTTAGAATATGCTGATAGAGACATACGCATCATTGAAAGAAATAGAGGCTAGATGTGGAATAAACGACAATAATCTCGGAGATCTTAGGCTGCTCTCGATATCCGGTTGGCCGGCAAATGATTTGCTTCTACTGTTAAGAAATGACATAGCGTCTTTACGAAGCATGGAAATTAATGAGGGATTTGGTAACTATTTTCCTTTTGTTCACTAAACGTTTATATTATTTCATGTACTAAGTAATGTTTCTTAAAAATCTCGACGGTATAATTCCATATAGGATGATCTCGACAAACACAGCCAAGATTTTATGGTGTAGATAGTAGTTGAAATAAATTACGGGTAAGAGTTTTAACGGAAATGATTTGTTTCCAGGGCCACAAATGTTACGACGGCTCCATTCCCTGCTGACTGTGATCCCCGACGAGGTGCGTGCGGTGAACTCGGAGATCATGATACGTCGCAACGAGATCTTACAACTGTGGCGCTCCAAGGCTCGTCCTGAACGACTTAGCGTACATTCTGTGAGTACTACATATTAATTGCAAAGTAGTTACCTAAATTGTATCTTTAATTGTACGACTAAGGGTGTGTTTTAACATACTAGATTAGGTTAAGATATCCACGCAAAATATCTACATAGATAACCATTTAATTTAAGAGCGTGTTTTATTGAATTTTATAATACTTCCAGAACACTGAATGGAAGAACAAAAACGCTGAATTTGAATCTCAAACAGAGAATATAAAGAAACTGGTGGTGACATTAACAGAAAATATTAGGTCCAAAATTAAGCAGTCGTTTGAAGTGGCTAAGTAATTATTTTACCTTATCAACAGAAAATTAATTGAAATTGTCAATTTTGTTTACTACGTTTCAAATTATTTCAGAATGCCCTGGCTTGACCGGGAAAATTTGATAAAGAAGGTTGAACGATTACAAAATGAAAATTTAATTTTGCAAGATAAACTTGACGAAAAATCGAAAAAAGATGGCGAAGGACAAGAAGATGGAAAGACGGAAGATATATTTAAATATGAGGTTATGTTAAAAATTGAACGATCGCTTTGTACTGATTATAAATATATTTACAACTGAAAAAGAAAATTTACAAACATATAGGATAAAGATTTTGACCGTAGGAAAGAAATTATCATAATTGTGGTACTAAATTTTGTTTGACTAAACTAAATTTTACAAAACAGGCATTACAAGAGCAGCTGAACAAAGAGAAATCAGCAAAGGAAAGTTTAAGGGAAATAGTATCGACTGCGGAAAGCATGCTGCGCGTCGCACGAAGTCGGATCGTCAATTTGGAAAAGCAGGTCAAGGAAGGAAAGACGGAGCTGGATGCAGCGAAACGCAAACAGAAGGAATTGGAACAACTAGTAATCAACACTATTTTAATAGATCATAATAAACAATTTGGCATTAACATCTATAAAGTCTACATACTGCGTCATTAACATTTAAATATGATTTTATTTTAGCGTTCTCGTTTCAAAAGTTATATAAGCTTTGTATTTTTCTGCTATTAGTATCGTCATCGTGAACTAAGCTACGATACCCGGTCGAAGAAATTGATCGAACTCTCAAAAACTGGAGAAATGACCATCGAGGCGTTATCACAGCAGCGAGATGCTCTCGAACTACGGTTGTTATCTTATCCTTATTAGAAAATTTTGTTTGCTATGATGTCAACATTTTAACAAGAAATCTTTATGCAGGGTCAAAGAGCTGCGTGAGCAACTAGTGTTGACTGAAAACGCTGTTTCCGAGCGGGAATGCAAACAAAGGAATCGCGCTGATATGCTGCAGGCCAAGTTATCAGAAAAGGTTTCGAAGCTTGTCTCTATATATTTTTATACACTTATCTCACTCATTATTAATACGAATGTACATTTTATGCGCTATACTATCTTAAAAGTTGAATAGGGTATTTTTAAATTTGCAAACATAGTCTCAATGGTACAGACAAAAAGTATCAAGGTACTCTACTCAATCTATCAATCGTTTTTAGCATTCCTAATTTTTTACAGGAGAAAGCTCATCTGGAGGCTGAATCGCGTGCAGCGGCACTTCAAGATCGAGTTAAAGATTTAGAGAAACAGCTATCTGTAATCCAAGAACGATGTACTAAGCTCCTCAACATAGAAAAAGAACATTGTCTCGACTACCTGCCGTCTAAAGGTATGGCCAATTTCGTTGTACTATATTAGATACAGGATTGCCAGAATACTCGCCTCACGTTGCTAACCTTAGCTTTATTCTATTGTACTCTACACTGATTTCCCGTGAATTGTTTAGAAGGCGAGCCTTCAGACGGGGAAACTGAAATTTGGAAGGAGCTACAAGACACGCGTGCCGCACTCGTTAGGGTCGAGGAGGAGCTGCGACAAACTCGCACCGATAAAGACAACTTTTTAAATTCCTTATCCAGAATTGCGGTAAGTGTGACATTGTTAGGATTTTTATAAAAAAAGAAAACGTTGTAGACCTCTTATTATTAAATATTCTCTTCTCTTAACTTAAAATAAATCTCTTTTAAAACAAAAAAAAAAACGTAAGAGATTTTAAGATATGATAATTAAATAAAGCAAGTTTCTTTGATGTGATTTTCACAATTTTTTATCTTGCATTCATTATTTAACTCTACAGCAAATAGAAAGTGATAACGATAATAAAATGGCTACTGAATTATTGGACAGAGAACAGAGAATAGCAAAACTGCAATCCATTATCGACGAACAGCGAGCAAATGAGAAGATAATGTAAGGAAACTTCCACACCTGTTAATGGTAATATAATTAATAGATCTTGAATAGTCAAATATGTTTAACAGGGAACAAAGTATGTCAGAGTACGAGACTCAATTAGCTGCTTTGCGTCTTGAAGTAAAGCGCTTGAGGAATTACGACTGTTACTCCAGGGATACGCCTTACCAGGATCTTAGAACTGAGGTTGGTTAATTATTTTATAGAAAAGTTCTCTATCGGTATCTAATTTACACTCACTATTGTTTTATGTAATATCCAGATCTGGGACATCGCGTAAGCCCTTAGTGTGAATTAAAAGAGATAGCGTTCATATTTTGTTTCATATTTTGTGACAGTTGCTAGAGATGCAAATGCAAGTAGCGACACTTAGCCGCGAGCGGTCTGCACTGGTGACGGCGGCGGCGTCGCGCGCCCTCATGCTGGAGCGGTACGAGCGCGCGGCGGACATGTTCGCTAAAGTAACGCGTGCGCGCCGCGACCTCGCCGCTCACCTCGAGGGACAGCACGAGCCTAAAGAATTTGACGAAGCAACGGTGTGGTAATTTCTGTTACAAAGTTGGTACAAAATTCTATGGTACGTACAAACAACTCGGATACATTTTTACTTCAGACATCGCAAGTCGTGTCATCTCTATGCCAAGATGCAAACGACACGTGGTCGGCGCTGCAGACGGAGCGGGCCAGGGTACTTCAGCTGGAGAGCGCCATCTTGATGCAGAGCTTGCAGCTGGAGAGAGAAGGCAAAGTGCGCACCCAGCTGGAGAGACGAAAGGCTATGCTGGAAAGACAAATTCTACGTCTCGTGGGTCCTGGATCCCAAAACACTCTGTTGTCTGATCCATCATTATAATTTCCTCCATTTCAAAAAACGGGATGTAATTTTCTTAACATTTGGTTTTATTTTGTTTTTTTTCCGTAAATTTACGTTAAAAGTTCTTACTCCTTTGAAACCTATACTATTCAAATTATAGTAATAAAGTCATTACCGTACCTCATACTTTGGTTTTATTTCTGTAACTCCTAACGTTCTTAGTTTATTTAGAGCAGGTCCTTGCCAATTTATATACAAAAGAAGTCATCTCTTTAAAAATTATATATCAAAAAGTTAACAAATTTACATGGGAATAGAAACAAGAAAATACAAAAAAATAAATAAGCCAATTTAAAGTCTATGCCCAGCCAAAACAAACATTTTGTCCTTTTTATCGGTCAGATGCTTTCCATACAACAGTGCTTGTAAGTTTCTTGATAATATTTTATCATGCAAATGATTAGTAATAATCTTTCGTTTTGGTACTTCGTCCGTATCTGAATCCAAGCCGCATGTTTTTGCTTTCTGGCCATTATTATCAATTTTAGAATTAACTTCTTTACGATCTAAGTGGTCACCGTTGAATAAATCACATTTCTGAGTAAGGTTGGCTTTTTTGACTACATTATCGGTCAATGTATATTTTTTTTGCAACACTTTTTGTTCAAGCACGATGGGTGTTCGTCGTTCGTGGTGACGATCTTTATCAGAAGTAATACTATTTTTAGTACCTTCTTCACTATGAAAGTCTTGGACATCCATCGGAGTGTCAATTTCCTCTTCAAGAAGTTTTAAAAATTTATTTAGATTCTTTGAATTTGCAATAACTCCTTCCTTATACTGATGTGATTCGTAAATTCCAATTTTCGTTTCTAGCAAATTGATTTTCTCTTCACATTTTTTTCTTATCGAGTTTGATTTGCGAACTTTCTCTTCCAAGGTTAACACAATCTTCTCTAACTGCGTTATTTGTTGTTTTCTAGTTTCTAAATTATTAGCAAGATTATTAATTTCCAATTTCTTTACTTCTAGCTCCTTGGCAACCTAAAATATTCATTTAGACATACATATTTTTTTTTTAAATAAGATACTGAATTTTCTACAATATCACAAAGTATAAATATTAAGAAATATTCACAGGACCTACATAAAAAATAACTAACCCTCCCTAAAAATATTCCAAGTATTTTTATCTACTATTAGAAAAAAATCAAACCTCGGCGTCTTCATTACTCCTGACGTCTAAATTGTTTCTTAGTTGTTTAATAATATTACATTGTTCTTCTTCTGATTTTATTAAAGTTTTTATGAGATCCTCTTTTTCTTGTAACTTTTGTCTATTTATTTTATTAGTTTCCAACGCTTCATTTAATTCCACTAAATTTTTTTGAATCTTTTCAGATAGTTCATTGTTTTCGTTAGTGACTTTATTTAGTTCATCTTTTTGTTTCTTTAACTTAAAAAAAGAGAGAGTTAAGAAACATGTAGTTAAGAAATATCATTATTTTAATTTTAAAAGCAAATTTTTGACTACAATTAAAGAACAAATGCCAAACTGCATAATTAAGAGCACTTATGTTGGTGTTCTTATGTTACATTCACTGTTCGTAATATTAGTTGTTAAAGAAATTATGATTACAAAAATAAATACCGTTTCATATAGATCGTTAATATCATTTAATCCACCAAATTGTTCTTGCAATTGTACAATGTGCTCTTTTAATTGCATTAATTCCTTCTCATAATATTCCATTTTAGATTCACTGGAATGTTAAAGCAAATCTTTTTGTAATACTGCTGCGTTATTGACGTTTAAATTAAAAAAGAAAATAAAATTTATTAAATTAGATACCTTTCTTGTAGCTGCAATTTTAACGTTTCTTCCCGATTTTTAAGCTCTTTAATATATTCTTCTTTGTCTAATATATTTCTATTCATTATTTCGTTCTCTTCTTGAGTTAATTTGAGGTTGAACTAAAAAAAAATTAACATAAGGACACATATAATGGACGTTTTACGAATATATTTCTAACATTACCTCCATTGCACGAAGTGATTCAGTCTGTTGTACCAGTATGTTTTTAAAGTTTTTAGTTTCTGATCGTTCTTTTTCGAGGTCACACTTTATATTATTCATTTCAATATCCACATCCTTTGTGCTAGCTATAAAATAGAAAAAAAAACTCGTGATACCAATAAATTTGTATTAAAATTGCAGTATTCTATAATGGCAATGGTCCCTTGGTACAGAGTTGATGCTGCTGCGAACTATATAGTTGTTAATAACTATCTCATTGTATATGACGACAGAATAGTTTCTCCCATGGTAAACTAACCGAACCGCTCACCTGATCTATATTCCAATTCTTCTATTTTTTGTAAAAGCAACTTATTCTGTAACTCTGCTTCCAATACTTGGTTACGATACTCCGACGCCAGTTTTATTTGTTCTTCAATTTCAGTATTATATTTTGTTTCAGCTTCACTAAGTTTCATTATATTTGCTTTAAGCTCTAACTTTGTATTGTTGAGTGATTCATTATAGTACATTGTAAGTTGTGTCAATTTGCTTTCGAGGTCGTTTTTCCTGTTTTTAATTAATAATTAATATTTATGTTTTTTTTTGTAGGTTAGGGTATTAAAAAAAGCAATTGCATAAGATTCTGAGAGTTAAAATATATAGCTACAGTATGTAGCTGTTAAAAGGTATTCACCTTATTAGTACAAACAAATAATTACGATAAATACTCACTCAAATTGTATTTTTTCCCGGTCTTGTGCTATCTTTTCTAAATTAATTGTATTTTCTATGACTGCTTCATTCAACTTCTTTAATTCTTCATCATAGTTTCTTTTTAATCTGTCGTTCTGTTAAAAAAAGATCATTTATATTAACAAAAATATGAAAAACAACTTTCTAGATATTACAAAGTAACTACTGTAAGGTTGATTTTAATTCAACTCGTTCTAAAGATGTAAAGTATTTGAATACGTACTTGCTCTTGTAATTGCTTTATCAATGCCATCTTTGACTCTAATTCTGTGTTAACTTTATTCAGAGCAGCTTCCAATTGGCTCGAGTGTTCCGCCTCCATTTTGACTTGGCCCTCGGCTTTCGAAAGACGATCTCTCATAGTCTTTTGTTTGTCTTTTAATTCCTTTTCGATTTCCTATTTTGTGTGTGAAATTAATAACTTGACTAAAATATCATTTATAAGATAAAAATCAGTGTCTTACCGCTTTGTTTTTATTTGTGTACGATTTCAAATTTTCCGCATTATTTAATAGTTTCTGAAGATCAGCATTGTGTGAATTTAGTTCCGACAATTTGTATGTCAAATTTTCGGTTTGCAAATGTAGAGCCATTGTATCGTTCACTCTTTCTCTGATAATAAATTAATCATTACTATTTATAATAAATACAGGAATACTATTACTGTATTTATTTAGCTTACCTTATGTAATGCTCTACTTCTTGTACTTGCGTCATACATTCATTTTTAATCTTTTTCAATGTACCGGCTAACATCTCATTTTTCATATTATATTCTTGAATTTTTTGCTTCAGATTCTGTACACTGATCTATGAATTAAAAAAAATATTTACAGACATCATTGTTTAATTTTTATAATGTCTTTATTCAAATTTGTACTTTAAAATTTCTGTAAACTATTGTGAAATACCTGGGATTTCAATGAGTCTAGCCATTCTATTATAGTTTTCTTGTTATCTAAAGCTTGTTCACATGTCGCAAATAATTTTTCAGGTATTTTGTATAATTTGTCCAATACCATTCTATTATCCAAAGGTAATTCGTCTAGAACTAAAGAGATATTATAATTCACACATTTTTAATCACTACTTGACCGCTGTTCGTAATAACTAGTATGTATGCAAGATATAATTTAGAGGTATATTTTGTAAGGTTTCGTGAGTGAACTTTTCACATTCACAAAGAAAGAAACTAAAAATTACATGCTTCTAGTATCGGGAAAGAAAGTAAAAACTATCAGCAGTTTCTTCTAACTAAACTATTGCTAATTGATAATTAGACCAATTAAAACATGAGAAACATGAAGTGGACCAATTTGGTAGTGTCGTAGAACTTTTTGACGTGTCTCAAGTTCTCTTAGCAAGTTCTCACCGTAGTAGAGAGTTACTAGAAAAGAAATGTACTAACCGTTAACATTATTCTTCATCTTAGAACTTTCTGCGCACAGTTTAAGCAGTTGTTCGGGTGTCATTTTGGCGACGTTCATGATATGCAGGTCCTCGACGAGCGGCACGTCCGCGCTGTGTCCTGCCGCTACCATCTTTTTATGTATTATATTTAGAGAAGCGTAAAGATCCAATATTGATCTCTGTAAAATATAAAATATTATATGAACGATAACAATCGTGTAACAGTCAGATTGCCGAAACTTCAGTAAAAATTTTAGTTCTATAATGCCTGTAGTTTTTATTCCTTTTTTGTAAATGGCCAGATTCTTACCTGTCTCTGATTCAATTCACTTTTCATCTTCTGAAACTCGTCGTTTCTTTTTACCCATTCATTTATAATGTCTTGTTTTGATTCATTGTCAACAGATTTTCTTGTATCTAATAATTAAAATAGAAATGTTATTTAATTATTACTTTTTTAGTAACTCTTCCCCCACTCCTGCCAAATCTTTTACTAATTCTCTATCAGCGTGAAATTAAAAAGTGAGTAGCCTTTGTGTTCATTCAGACTATGCTCTACATCTATGCCAAATTTCATCGCAATCCGTTCAGTTGTACAGGCTACAAGTTCTAACAATGGAGGTTTGTTCATCTTAACTTTTACATTTATAATATCAGTAAGATACTTACCACCGACAGACAAGTCCCCGTAGCCAAGAGCATCATTTGACTCACTCTGCTGGACTTCCATCTCTTCATACTGGTTTATTGTCTCCTGTCATATAATTTTGATATGAGTCAGAGATTTTATATTAGCCGTGCGCAGAAGGTTTGCCGTTGACTTCCCTTCCCAGTAGTATCGATGACGTCCCATTCTCATCTGCTCGGTATTGTTAGTTAACGCGTGACGTCATGAGGCCATTGACAAAGCTTCTGCACACGAGTGATAATTGAAATATGATTTTAATATAATTTACTTATTACCTGATCTGGTAAATGTCCGGTGTTTTTGTTCGAATACAACATTCTTACCGCCTTAGGCTTAAAAAATAGTGATCATTTAATATTTAATTCTAATTTCTACTACTACTTTTGAAGGTGTGAAGAAAATTGCATCAACTAATCTGTTTGGCTACACAACATTTTGTTTGTGCTCAAATTATAATTCATCAACATGGATTTAACTAAAAGTTATTCAATATATTAGTTGACCTGTAGCACTGGCACCATTATAACTGGCGAAGCAGTTTTATTTCTTAGATTTTCGGTAATACGTCTTGTTATCATTGGCGGTTGTCTCTGAAAACAATGCGACTTTAAAATCCTTACATCTTTGTTTAGAGATAAGGGGTCAAAAAATGCCAAGCAGGAGCAACTGAAGGTGCGTATTCAGCTCTTGAGGTGATACACTTAATGCTTAAATGATTTTGAAGGAAGGCGATTTGGAAATATATTTTTCTAAGTATAGAACAAATTGGTTTTTACCGGGAAGAGACCACCTGAACTAAAATAGCAAAGTGACCGATGGCTATGCATAATTGACAAAGGAGGAGACGCAGAGAAAGATCATATATCCTCTTCCTGTGCGTCATTTCCATACGATTACAATATTTGTAACCGTGAGTTATAATGCCACCAACTGGATTTTAGTCGTCTCTGTTATCTTCAAAGATAATGTAAGGGATGCCATTAATCTTACTTTCAAGGCTGAGGAGATCCTGTCCCGCTCTAGCCGAGCTGACCGTGTCATATCATTGACTTGCGCCTTCTCTGTCCTACCACGACTTATCGACCTCTGCTTCACCTGAAAACAATTATGGAATAATATTTGATTAAAAAATAAAGTATAGCGGGTTAACAATGACGAAACAAATTAACTATTAAAAAATATTCCGTAATCAACATGGAGGGGGTTTATTGTAATCCTTTACTTTTTATTAGTTTTTAAGCAAAATATAACACACAAAATAAACATGAACAAAAACACATACTTCATGAAAATTACGAAATAAAGGTAGAGATTAATGTTTTCCCTATTGTGTTAGAATAAGAGTTGTAAGGCTTATTTACTTTCTTTAATAAATAACTATAAAGCAAAATAACATAGAATAGCGTAATTACATCTGTATTGTTGAGTTTGGTCCTGTTAACTGAGAATGGTACTATCCCCCGCTTGTCGGTGCGAACGCTGCGCGGGATGCGGCATTTTAATGGCATTCTCGCTGCTTCTATTATGTCTGGAAACAAAGAGTTACATCTTTTTTACTTATAAGTTTTAATTACTAGTAACTGTATAAACATGAGCACCAATGCGGCAATACTTGGCTACAACCAAAGAGATTCAAAAAATATATGAAGGAAGCATAGTTGTCACTTCATTTGAGACATTTTTCACATGATCCTCACTAGCACTATCTATTAATAGGTCCTAAAACCACATTGTGTTTAAATGAATTACCAATAGGTGAAGTTAATATTGTATTGAAATGTTTATATTTTTTTTGTTACACTGTTTAGTTTATTTTTTAAATAAAGTGGAATAATTATAATTATATAAAATGTTTTATAAATTGTCAATACAAGGACACGAGGTGGTGTACAAGAATTGACAACTCGACATAGTACCTTTCAAAGAAGTTACCGGTGAAAAAATGTTGTTTACTATGTCTAGTTCTTTGGCTATAACAAAACTGCAAGTGTAAAATTTAATATTCCGTACGTCAAAATATGTAATGGATTGAAATACTAAAAAGTGCTCTTACAGGTTGTTTCTTGTTGAGCCCAGTCGACCGATCGGTTCAATGGGATATTTTCCCCTCGAACAGATTTTAATTGGTATTTATAATCAATAATTTTATTGATGTGAATGTCCAAACAGTGAGTACATAATAAGCCTGCTATGTCATTTGTGTGCCTGGAGTGCTACCAATACGCTTACCTTGTATTCTTGACTTATCTGATAAATCGTTGGACATGATCACTTACATTATAATCACACAAAGATTTTTAAAATAAATAGAAACAGTATACTAAAATTTAAATTATAAAGCAACAATCCTAAAACGATGCCAATGACATTTCAATACAGACAAAATATAAATAATGATGGCCAGTCTTGCTTTTTGGCATTTGACATTATAACCAAAAAGTCTTTAACTATTGTTAGATTACAAAAAATCGGCATTTACTCTCGCATTAGAACTTTCGGTTTTATATTATGACTACCTTATTTGTCATGAAACTTTTTTAGAAAGGTCAGGCGGTGCTGTTTTTGATTAGTTGAAATGGGTATTTTGTGTACTTCGACACTACAAACTTCATCACAAGTAGGAACGACAAACAAGGACTTGAGGTTGTTTTGTTAACTGTTAAGTTTCCCGTAATTTTTATATAATTACACTTTCTTATAAGATAATAAGCACTTTTTTTTCGTTTTATAAAATGCTAGAACTTTTGGGAAGGTTTCTGTTTGAAAAGGTGCAAAAAAACTAGGACTGCTCTCCACAGTCATGACATAGTAAAGCAAACGAAAGTATTTTCAAAAATGGAACAATGTCAGATATTTAACAAATACTTTTGAATATGTCATAACATCAAAATTGAGTTGTTTTTTTTAGATTACCTAAAATTGATCTCAGGCATTTTTCCTAAATTAAATTTGGATTTCAACTATGGCTAGTACCGCTAAACAACAAAAGGATAAGTTACGTAAGTATCTATATATCTTTGTACAACTGAAAAGTAGCGTGCGAATGAAAATGTATAGAATGGTCTTCTTGTGGTTTAGCATAATTTAACCGGATATAATATCCAAATGCAAGTATAAGGTTGAATTATATTTTATATTGGCTAAATTGTTATGGTTTATGATCATCTGAAAATTCTATTTAACTATTACATCGTAGCCTCATACGTTGGCGTTGATTTTGTAGTTATATTTACATATTGCTAAAATTTTTAAGTTTTATAAAACAAACACTTGAAATAAAATTTCGTAGAATTTGTCTCAGAATTTCAGAAAAATTTCCAGAACCATTTACGTATAAAATGGTTGCTTTTTTAAAAATGGAATAACAAAACTTTAAAGATGGACTTCATCGTGCGGCGCCCCGCACGGCGGCCGCGTCATCTGCACGCGCCGCTCGCAGCGCCACCACTCGCACGCCCGTGTCACCACTTAAGGTGCGGAAACGTTGCACTATTAGTCATTTTTTAAATTAAATTTTAACTATTTAAGTAACTGCTTTTAGTTAACTGTTAAAGCGTTATTTTTTATATTTCCTTTCAGCACAAAGCTGCACATCTTCGCAGTCAACCCCATTTAGAAACAGCAACTGATGATAAGGTAACTTTTAAATTGCATTACTTTATCGAATATAGCTGCAAGTTTTAGATAGTAATAAAACAGGCACTTTCATTTATTCAGATAGTAACTAGACCTCAGAATTTTCAGACAAAATTTCACTAATCGTTTGAAATTTGTATATAATTTATTTTTGTCATTTGCTTTAGGTTACAAAATGCTCTAACAATGTTATTGAAGTACCACATGCAGTCACAGAAGCTAAAGTTAATGAAGAGGTAAGCAGAAGTAAAACTCGTACATACTCAAAATACTTTTTTTATCGCTAAAATATTGCAATCAGTGGCTACCAAAGTTATCTCTTAGTCTCAATTTATCTTTATGTAGAATATATATTTTTTTTATGTTATGTATGTTAAACAAAACAGATTATCAGCAGCGATAGAATGGTCTAGTAAATCTAATTATAATAATTGTTACAGCCACAGCACATTTCTCATGAAATTTATCACCCTAGTGAAGAATTTGTAAGTGAGTCTACCAAAGAATTTAAAGTAGAACCAAACGATCTTGATAGAAATTCATCGGAGCCGCCTGCGATAAAAGAACTGCAAGATACTTTAAGTAACTATTGCTTTTATTGTTTTTAGTATAAGTATATAGTTAATTTATTTAAAGCGTAAATTTCACTTGGTATCGCAATTTAATTGTAATTAAAATAAACAAAATTGTGGTTTTACCCTCAGAATTGATAACTGGCGATGAATACAAAACGCCAAATGAAAGTGAATTGAACCTAACTACTGGTAAGTTTGAACTTCACATTTTTAATTTATTTTAATGTCGGTAATAGTATAATCGTAAATTGCCTTTTTTACGTTTTAGAAATTGAAAAATGCGAAACTGAACCCTCGTCTAAAG